CGGCTCCAACAAGTGAGAACTTTGATGCACTCCAGAGAGAAATGGAGGCAATGCGCACACAAATGCGGTCCATGGAGGAAATGTATAACGAAATGATACTAGCTGCAGGCGCAGGGTCCCGATCTGAAAATCGAGTGACGCGCGTGGACGTACGCGAGCAAAGGGGTTCCCACCTCGGCCCAGCCGAGGAGGAACGTCCCGAAGACAACGAGAGCGAGGGACACACTCGCCAGAGGGGAGACCTCTGTGAGCATCTCAACAAAAAGAGAGGCTCATTTCTCCGAAAAGGACAGTCACCATCCTGCTCACACAGGAGCTCCAACCAACAGGCTGAATCCTCTCACAACCCAGCAACTCCTGACTGGGCGTTTATGCTGAACGCACGCACTAAGGGTGGTAACAATTATATAGATGCAAGCGCACACCTGTCAGAGTAATATAAAATGGATGGAGTATCCAAGTATCGATCCTCAAGGACTTCTAAATAATTTCCAAACTCTAAAGTTTTAAAGAATAGTGAATGTTGGAATGAGTGATTCTTGTAAAATGGGAAGTGGTCACAAATAATGGTTTTGGATTTGGGATTTAGACTTATAATGATAAAACCTAGCCCGAATTACTTCAAGTTAGCCAACAAAGAATCAAGGACATGCTAAGGACAATATGCATTTTACTTTAGAAACCAACGACTACGCTCCTCACTTGACTTATGTCTAAGCAAGTTCAAAGTCCTAAGACATTCCCTAATATGTCTATTATGAGATATATCTTAGTTTTAGGATGGAAATAGTCGCAACCTCGGGTTAAGGTCCTATGTCTAGGCTACTTAAGCGGAACCCTTATGTCTAAGGCGCTCCTCTCCTCGGTTTAACCACTCAATCATGCAAATAAGCAACCTTTTCAGTATTGACTTGTTAAGACTTACAGTGGCCTTCTCTAAATCCTAACTTTTTGGGAAAACATGTTGAGCAAYGAATGGAAAGCAAAAACACTACTTCTTAGCAACCTTTTTTAGACATAAAAGGCTAACTATCCATAACCGGGCTAGAGACGGGAATTTAGAAAGACATATTGAAGAAAATACAGCAAGTAAAATGGTTGAATGTGGAATGCATGTGTGAAAAACAAAAGTTAACTAACGGAGAGTTTTTATCGGGRTTGAGAGCTTCGCCCTTCTCTTTCAAGCAAGGGGGAGTGCCACGTGCTCTTTCCTCCAAAAACACAACTCTCTTAACTAAAAATAAAGTAAAGGCAAAGGGAAGATAAGCAAAGTGCTAGATTTTTATATATTTGAATAAGTAGAAAATAACTAAGTACAAATGGAAACAAAACAAAGCTCAATAAARGAATGTAAAGTACTCGGGATTTAAAAACCAAAAGCAACYAATGAAAGCAACTCAAATGTACTTAGAAAGCAACAAAGAAACACTAAAAATGATCAAGAGAAGGAAGCAAGGCTTGATGAATTTGGTGGAGAAGTTGCTGGAATTTATAGCTGTGCAGA